GGAGTCCTGGGTTCTGGGTCTTTGGCTCTGGCCTGAAGGCTTTTACAGCAAATGGCCCTGCATCCTGGGAATCACACAAACAGCCCGTGGCAAGCCTGTGCCCTGACCCAGGGCCGGACTGTCTGCAGGAGCCCTGAGGCCAGCATGGGCTGAGGCCCGGGCAGCCCACACAGCCATTCTGAGGGGCTTAAGACAAGTCCCCTCCCACTTCCACTCATCTGTTCCCAGTTTCAACTTCTCTCCTGCCCTCCCCAGCTTTCTCTCCTCCTGTGGGGGTCACGGCAGGGTGGCCCAGGTCCGAGAACATGGCTGACATCTCGGTGAAAGGGGCCTCTGGCAGCTGGCAGCTTTGAAGTTCCAGAAGGTTCTCCAGTGAGACCCCCTCATGGCATTGTCACATCACAGCAGAGAGGCATGGCCAGGCGGACTGTTCTGGGAGCACAGAACGTGCCTGCACGGTGTCTCGGGCCATGAATATTCATGGCAGCACGGGGCCTGCAGAGTCCAATGATGTAAATGTCATGAACAGTGTGTGACCGTGTTTTGGGGAGAAGATCCGTCGAGGAGATGAGTCTCGGTTACCCGTCATAGCAGGGCAACGCCTCCATGGCCCTGGTGCGGCCGCGGCTCCTCCGCACGGTCAGCCTCCAGCATCACAGCTCTGGGGGTCAAACACGAGCCCCCACGGGCAGGAGCTGTCTCGGCCTCCTGAAACAGTGGGCTGGGAGTGTGGGCAGCCCCCAGGGGCGTCAGTCCCGGATCCATTCCAGGAAGAGAGTTCTAGAAAGCTCCGCTGCCATGGACGAGCTCTGGGCCGTCCTACCTGAGGATGGTGGGGCAGGTGGGGACAGCTGGGGAGGGCATGGCATGGTGGTCTCGTCCTGGGATGGGAGAGGGAGGGGACACCACCCTCTGAGGGCCACTAGTGACTTGGGTCTCAGCTGATGAGGGAGAAGGTTCTGGGCTGCAGGTCACTGCTGTGATGGGAGTGATGACCGCGCCAGCACAGGTCCTCCCGCCGCCGCCCTGAGATGGCTGTCCCCGGCTCTGACTCATGGCCCCGGGTGCACTGCTTCTGCTCTCGTGATGCAGCTCCCAGCAGAGTGCGTCGCCTGTATGCCAGCGTGCTGTGTGCATGGGCTGTCCGGCCGTGGACGCGCAGGGTCTGCGTGCTTCGTGCGGTATCCCAGAGCCTGCCCAGGCTTCCCAGGTTAGGGTGCCCATGCTGGGATGGCACACCCTCCCTTTGCCAGCTGCTGTGGACTGAATGGTTGTGTCCCCCAATGCATGTGCTGAAATCCATCCCCATGTGGTGGTGGGAGGAGGTGGGGCCTTCGGCCGGCGATGAGGTCATGGGGGTGGAGTTCCCATGAAGAGGCCAGGGCGCTCCTGGCCCCCTCCAGCCCCGCGAGGACACAGGACGGCGGCCTCACCAGAGCCTGTCCCCGCCAGCACGCTGATGGACGCTGCCCCGCCGGCGCTGTGGGAATAGTTCTGCCGCGGTGCTTTGCTAGAGCAGCCGGTCACTCCTTCGTTCATTCACATAGTATTTGAGGGACAGTGGGGTGCCAGGCCCTGCAGCCCACTGGGGGCGGGGCAGCAGCTGGGAGAACAAACACGTACCGTCCAAGCTAAAGGAACACGTGGACCCGCGCCACCTGTTCTGGCTGCTCAGGTGGCAGATGGCCCGCTGAGCCCAGCAGAAGGGCAGCGCCAGGCGCTCAGGGGAGCCTGCCTCTCTGTGCCAGAGCAGACAGCCTGTCCCCACAGGCCCTGGCTCCCGGGCTGGTCCCATTCATAGTTCTGCAAATTGCCATGATTTGCGTGGCGGAAGGGGCGGGCGGCGGGCAGGGAGGGAATGAATGCCGCATTTGCTCTCCTCAAAGGCTGCGGCTGCTTCAGCCAGATGCACTCCCGCCAACAAAAACCCCAGCGCACAGGCTTGCAGCTCTGCGAGTCCAACAGATGAACCAATTGTGCCTTTGGGACGAACCATTATTAGGAGGGAGATTAAATTCCTTTCGTGGGTGGAGGAATGGTGCAGACGGAGCGGCCTGCGACAGGCGGAGGCCTGCCTCGGGGACAGCCCCCACGCCCCCCAGCCCGGCTAGCCGCCCCAGGCCTGTGGCAGGGGTTCCAGGTGGCCGGCGGGAAACAGCCCTGCCCAAGAAGAGGCCGTGCTCTGGCCGCCTTGCTCCTCCCTCCAAGCCTGGAAACACCGCGATGTAGGCCCTTCCCCGCACCGAGCCGTCCGTGCGCACGTGCCTGGAGAGCGGCAGTCTCGTGTCCACTGGGCCTATGTCTCGTGGAAGCCCATCGCAAGAGACACCGGGATGGAGGGAAGCGCGGCCTGTAACCGACATGGCTGCCATGCTCCGGACACGCCTGGGGACAGCACTGGCACCGCCCGGGCCTCTGGCTGCACTTGCCTGTCCCCCTTACCTAACCCACTGGTTTTGTCCTGGACGGACCACAGCCAGGCTGGTGGCACAGTGGGGCTGAGTGGGATGGTGGCACAGGATCACGACATCTTTTCTGAGTCCGACTTGCTCCTGATCACAGCCATCCCTGACAGAAGTCCAGGAGGGGCCTGGCTGAAGGAGCACAGGGTCACAGCCAGCCCTGGCCAGTTTGGCTCTATGGTAGGAGCACTGGCCCTTGAACTGAAGGGTCGTGGGTTCAATTCCTGGCCAAAAGCATGTACCTGGGCTGCAGGTTTGATCCCCAGCCCCGGTCGGGGCAGGTGCAGGAGGCAATCGATCGATGTGTCCCTCTCACATCAATGTTTGTTTCTCTCTCTCTCTTCCTTCCACTCTCTCTAAAAAAAAAAAAAAATCCGTGGGAAAATACCCTCAGGTGAGGATCAACAACAACAACCGAAGTGCCACTTCCTGGGGCTTAAGCCCAGAGCACAAGGTCCCTCCCAGCCCAGAGGCTGGTCAGCTCGGGAAGAAACAGCCAAATGCTGGCTGAGTTGGGGTGAGTCCCTTCCCCTTAG